AAGTACACAGATACACTTTAGTGATATTATATATTTACATTTTGGTAATAACATGTCAAACTATTATCAAATGTTTCGTGTTTAAAGGTTAGTTTAGGTACTAAATTATATGTTTTTGACGAATAATGACCACTAGCCATCATAATTATAATTAATTGCTTTGCTGTCATTACTCAATAAATAGGTCATTGAAATATCGCATAATGATTAATGTTTATACATTATATTATTATATAATGTGGATGTGTTCAATTTTGAATTTGGAATCAAAAATTAAAAAAAAAAAATAGCCCCCTCTGACAGCCACCGATATATCTAGCCCTAGACATGTACCTATACCTCGCCTGTGCTAAGAAATGTGGGACTCAGCTTAGCCCACCCGTTGTAAAAGTGCTGGCGCCGCCACTGGGTGGGCATGAAAAAAAGTTAAGCAATACAGTTCGATTAAACCTCCATAACCACGGACGACTGTCGCGTCTTAGCGGTCGAATCAGTCTTGTAAGATATACCTTTTCGAATAAATGTATTCAAATGCTATTTTAAATACTTTTTGAAAAAATTATTTGAATACCTACCCATTCTGAATATTTTTCTATCCCCGGAAAAATACCTTTTTTTAAACTCAAAATTACCTACCTAGTTTATATTTGTGACGAAACAAATTTGTTCGTCTCAAATCGGGCACGTTATTTATTTATTTGTTAAGTATTAAACGGGCAAGACTCTGTTGCAATAGACAACAGCATTACAACGGTTATGATGATGTATAAACAATTAAGAATACAATATTAATGATGCTGATGATAATAATAGTGTTAAAGGAGCACACAACACAAATAAAAAAATTCTTTAAATTTTTTTTAAATGTTAAATTATTGTAGTTATGGTTATATGAAATGAATTTGTGAAGATACGATATAAAAAAAAATATTACTTTAAGAGATATTAAGAGATGTAGAATAGCCGCGTGACGTCACTGGGCCGGAGTCATCGTAACTGCCTATCTTATACGTGTAAAAGTTCCTTGCTTCACACAACGATTTATCAACCTAAACATTTTCTTTTTAAAATTTAATTTACATGTAAATATGTGGTTTTATGTGTTTAAGACGGTGCAAGTATCAGAACTGCAATACGATGTTTAGTTTTTTAAATATTAAAAATCTTAAAAGAGACATTTTGGTCAATCCGTACGTCATGGCTAGCGGCGAGTGGCGTTCGAACAACGGGTCCGCCGTTTAACCAAAATGTCTCTTTTAAGATTTTTAATATTTAAAAAACTAAACATCGTATTGCAATTCTGATACTTGCATCGTTTTAAACACATAAAGCCACATATTTACATGTAAATTTATATTGCAAAAATAAAATGTTTAGGTTGATAAATCGTTGTGTGAAACGAGGAACTTTTACACGTATAAGATAGGCAATTACGATGACTAAGGCCCAGCGAAGTCACACGTCTTTTTTCAATTGCTCATAACTTATTGAATAATGTGAGTAGAAACGTACAACCTACACCATTATCCTTAGAATTAAACATTCTTTCAAATAAAAAAACTTATATTTTGTGTTGTGTGCTCCTTTAATGGTAGTAATCATAGACATATAAGTATATAATATACGTCTATGGAAATCGGTAGAAGTAATAAACAACGGGTAGTGATCAGTGGCGGTCAAATGATTTTGTCATGGGGGGGGGGGGG